AAAAAAAAAAAAAGACAAAAAAAAAAAAAGGAAAAAAAAAAGCTAATGTATGTAGTTATTACTTTACAATGTATCAAAAAATCATGTTGTATATCTTAAATATATACAATTTTTATTTTTCAATTATACCTTAATAAAGCTGAGAGGGAAAGAAAGATAATGTAAATTAAGAGAAATATTGTGTGCAGATCAAGGAAAATGTCCCCGTATCCAGAGTTACTCGTGCTGTTTTATGAGGCTCACTTAAGAGAAGCATCACAGAACTAGAAGTGTTGTACATGTAAGTGCCCATGCTTGCTAGTAAAGAAATGATAATGAAGTATCTGTAAACCATGTTAGCCAAAAAAAAGTAAAGGAATTGAAGACACTTGGCTTAAAAGATGACTTAGAGGTGGATGGAATAGGGAGCAGCATATATCAGCTGTGATGAATGCCTCTGAGCTGGTAAGAGAAGCTCCAACTGTGCTCCGTAGAAATAAAAAAAGGTAAAATTTGGCCCAGTAAGAAGAACTTCAAATACTTTGGGCTTTTCATCACTGAATTACCTTGAAAAGAGGTAAATTCTTTGGCTAGAAGTCGTCAAGCATGAATGGAGGACCGTTTATTAAGAAAACCCAAAAGCAATTTTTAACACTGGGGAGGAAATTTGAAATAGATCTCTAAAGCTCTTCCAATCTTGCAAATGCTTGTGGTTACTCTGTTAGTTGCAGTCAAGAGTATTAAGATGACACCCACCACAGCTACTTTAAGAGCAGAGGGCGATCTCAAAAAGCAGAAAAGAGGCCAGGAATCACCACTGAACTTTATACAAGATTGTGAAGGCTTTGACACTTTCAGATGATTACCAGAAAAGGTACCAGAAGAGAATCCAATGATGGCCAGCCTCCCTGACTATGAGCCAACAGCTATCCTGACCAGTACAACAGAGCCCTCCTATTCCAACTGATGGCAATGACAAATACACCAGTCTCAGAGCTTCCAGTTTTTTCTGGTGGCGTTAAGTGAAAGGCAATTTTTATATTTCCTTCTCCTCTAATGCTCTCCCTATTAACTCCTGGTTTTCTGTGCATGGAGAATGCTGAAACTTCAAGAATCTGCATTGTTCTGTATTTGGGGAGAGTACAAACCCAGCAGTACAGATGTTATTCCTATATAACCAGTTCATGAGACTTTTTGGCTCCACATTGAAAAGGGAAGATTGGCCTGATCTGGTGGATCTATGTGAAAGGGCTTACAGTGGAAATCTACAAAGTGGCCTGGTCACTTCCCCCAGGCCCACTCAAACTCCTAAATTGGGGTAGATTAAGCATGTTTTACCTGTGCCTTAGATTCGTGAGACATGTACAAATATGCTCATCATAAGTGAGCTATTATAGCCATCACACTGAAATTTATGAAACCCAGAAAAACGTAACATTATAGAACCAGGAAAACAATTAAAATTTAGTTCCGAGGCATCAGGGAAGATAAGCCTCAAGTTATACATACATCCTGTGAATTCAGTTTGCCAGTCTTAAATCTTATACCAGGAACACTCCAATCCAATCAATCAACAAACATAAATCGAGAGGCTACTGTGAGCAGGAACTCTATGTTAAGTTCAGTGAAAGACAAATGCCCATCATGATCTCCCTAGGTTCTGACTATGGCTAATAACTGCCATAGTCAGGGTATAATAAGACTTGAATAACACCCAATGGCTCTTGTATAATTCTATATATTTTAGGAACTAAAACTCAAATTCCTTCAATAGTACCTTCAATAATAGTACTTGAAATAAAAACCATGCTTCAGTCATTCACATAAAACCGTCACAATGAAGGAAGTATATAAAGCAAAGGAATTTCTACTATTGTCAAATAATGAAAGTAGGTCTAAAGGATTTTCATCTTCTGAGACAGGTGTCCTACAGGTGCAACCTACTTAGTGTTGGTAACATTTACTTAGTCAAAATATTTTTCTGGAAGCCAGTAAGATATTTTAGAAATGAGAACAGTTTAAAAAATTATAAACTTAATTTAAAAAAATCTCCAAAGATCATAGATTATTATAATCATATGGATAGCTCTTACAAATTAATGAGGACAATGGATAAAATGACAGTGTGGTATTTCAGAATGTGTATTCATTTTAGTATGTCTTTAAAAAAATAAATAAATAAAATAGATAAATAGTCTCAGTGTGGTAAAATATAGCCTGCAAATTACAAACCTCTCCTTTCTTTGGTAAACATAAAGAAATAAAAACAGAAAAACTACCAAAAAGCAAAACACCCATATCACGTGAATCTTAGGTAGATGAAAGCATTTGAAGTTTAGGCTATATGCATGGTCATTGCATAAGAGAGCCCCAATCAACTCAACCGCCCTTCTGGGAACCAGAGAGCAAGTAGTTTTTTTGGCTGTCTATGTTTATTTACCTATCCAGCAAGCAGGGGAGATATGTGGTACGTTAAAAAGGACAAACCAAAACAAAAAAATTGCATATTTTAGGGTTTCCAAATAAGATATATGCTAAGTAAATGGAGAAAAAAGACTTACCTGCATTGCCAAGCTGTTTATAAAATCTGTACTCTAAATGAAGCTGTGGAGCACGTGATTTTATTGGTTCCTGAAACCGAAGAAGAAAAACTGTGTTAGATTTAGACAAAGGGGGTTTTTCCATTACTAGATTTTCAGAGCAAACAAGAGCTAAGATTATTTAATATTTTAGAGATATCATCCACAAATGATAGCCTTTTCTTACCATGATTTGTTTTTGAATATAGCTAAGAAAAGATGAAGCAGAATTATATACAATCCCTCCCACGGATAGTTAAATAAAAATAGACCCTGCATGAACCATCATTCAAGGATAGCTCCCTCACCATGAAATATTCTCCTGAAATGTATTCTCCCAGGAAACCAGACTCCAAACCTTTTTAAAAAAATACCAGCATGTATTTCTTGCTTGTTTTATCATGAATTTTGGGTGGTAAACAGTTTTATTATTTTTAGAAAAATAATACATGCTCAGAAAAAAATTCAAATACACTAAAATCAGGAAGAAAGTAAAAATAATCTGAGATCCTTTAAAGACAGCCACTATTAACATTTTGGTGAATGTCCTTCCAACTCTTTCTTTATCCATATATTTATATATAATGAATTCTCATGAAAATAATTTTATATAAATGAGATCATACTATATTTATATATATATATATGTATCTGCTGTTCAGTAATTTGCTTTTGAATTCAAATGTAATGATGACATCTTTCCATGGCAGTAAGTGAAGGTGTATAATACAGTCATCCTTCAGTATCCATGGGGGACTGGTTCTAGGACTTCCCAAGAACACCAAAACCCACAGATGCTCAAGTCCCTGATATAAAATGGTGTAGTACTTGCACGTAACCTCCATATGTACATCTTCCTGTGTACTTTAAATCGTCTCTAGATTACTTGTAATACTTAATACAATGTAAATGCTATATAAATAGTTGTTATACTGCATTGTTTAGGGAATAATGACAAGGAAAAAAGTCTGCACCAGTAGTACAGATGCAATTTTTTTCCCAAATATTTTTGATCTGTGGTTGGTTAAATCCAGAGATACTGAACCCATGGATATGGAGGGCTGACTATATTATTTTTAATAAAGTAGTCCCCAGCATCTATATATGTATGTACATATGCATGCAGGTATGTCTATACAGAAACACACAAAACCTGCAATTTTCAGAAACTTGGACTGTTCTCAGTATTCAATATTTTGAACAATGCTGTTAGGAATACCCTTATCTATATTTCTTTCTACACTTATGAGAATTAAAGATTGCAGATGCAATTGAAATTTCAAACAATGTGGTGTTCAAGTTTCCAAAAATGAAGTTTACTAAAGACCCCAGGGCTCAAGCTGCCAAAAACCACACTTAGCTCTATACCAAACTTCAATAAGTGGCTGGTTAATTATTCAGAACTGACAGTGTACCAGGGCTAACAGGACAATCAAACATTACCATAAAAGATAGAGCTTCCTATTCCTTATGTGTATAAATGATAGGCAAAAATCACCACAAACTTATTATGATCTCCCTTTAAAAACTCAACATCTACACATCCATTAGGAAGGCTGTTATCATAAACAGGAAATAACAAGTGTTGGTGAGGATGTGGACAAATTGGAACCCTTGTGCTTTGACGGTGGGAATGTAAAATGGTGTAGCTGCTCTGGAAAACGGTATGGTGATTCTTCAAAAACTTAAATATAGAATTACCATGATTCAGCAATTCCACTTCTGGGTATATAAACTCCAAAGAATTGAAAGCTGGGCCTACATAGCTGCACATCCATGTTTGTAGCAGCATTATTCACAATAACTTAAAGGTAGAAACAACTCAAGTGTCCATCAACAGATGAACAAACAAAATTTGGCATATATATACATACAATGGAATATTATTCAGCCTTAAAAAGGAAGGAAATTCTGACACATGCTACAACATGAAAGAAACTTGAAGACACTGTGCTGAGTGAAATAAGCCAGTCACAAAGGACAAATACTGTATGATTCCATTTATATAAAGTACCTAGTATAGTCAAATTCATAAGACAGAAAGTAGAATGGTGGTTGCTAGGGATAGAGAGGAGGAAGGAATGAGGAGTTAAGTGTTTAATGGGTACAAAGTTTCAGATGGGGAAGATGAAAAGTTCTGGAGATGGATTGTGGTGATGGTTACACAACAATGTGAATGCACTTAATGCCACTGAATTGTACACTTAAAAATGGATAGGGCTGACCCGTGGATCACTCGGGAGAGTGTGGTGCTGATAACACCAAGGCCACAGGTTCGGATCCCATATAGGGATGGCCGGTTAGCTCACTGGGTGAGCATGGTGCTGACAACACCAAGTCAAGGGTTAAGATACCCTTAGCGGTCATCTTTAAAAAAAAAATGGTTAAAATGGTAAATTTTGTATATTATCCCTTATCAGATAATATTATTTTCAAATATTTCCTCCCATTCCGTGGGCTGCCTTTTTACTCTGACAGTATCCTTTGAGGCACAGAAGTCTTACATTTTGTTTAAGTCCAACTTACCTATTTTTTTGTTATCTGTGATTTTGGTAACATATCCAAGAAATCACTGCCAAAGCTCTTCCCCCATGTTTTCTTCTAAGAGCTTTATAGTTTTAGAGCTTACCATTTACTTCTTTGATCCATTTTGAGTTAATTTGTGTATATGATGTAAGGTAAAGGTCCAACTTCACTGCATGTGTATATTCAGTTTTTCCAGCACCATTTGTTGAAAAAACCGTCCTTTCCCCATTGAATATTTATTTGTCCTATTTTTTTTTCCTTTTTGTCATTTTTACTGACCGGTAACGGGATCGCAACCCTCGGTGTCGCGCCCGTACCAGGGACCGGCAACGGGATCGCAACCCTCGGTGTTGCGCCCGCACCGCGCTCAGCCAGTGAGCGGGAACCAGTCTCCACATGGGATCCGAACCCTCAGCGGGAGCGCCGCCGCGCTCCCAAGCAGCACAGTCTCCAGTGCGCCACCGGGCCACCCCTTATTTGTCCTATTTTTAAGACAGACTCCAATGAGGAAGATTCCACAGCTTCCCTTGATAGTTTATGCTGGTATTTAACAAGTTTCATGATTTGGTAGGTCTTTATATTTAGTTCAAATCTTTTTTTTTTTTTTTTGGTCCTTTTTTGAGACCGGCTGCACCGCGCTCAGCCAGTGAGTGCTGTGAGTGCACCGGTCATCCCTATATAGGATCTGAACCCGCGATGGGAGCACTGCTGCGCTCCCAGCACCGCACTCTCCCGAGTGCGCCACGGGCTCGGCCCTTTAGTTCAAATCTTACTACTGAAACTTAAGACTTTTTCTCTTATGTCCTCAATAACAAGATAAAATAGCTCCTTAATAACCTGTGAATACTATACTATAATAGCTGTCTTCAAATACCAAAACTATTCAATCATTACTTAGACTTTCTTTCTTCAGGCAAAGTAATTTCAATTCCTTTAACCTTTCCTCATTGGTCTTATTTTTTTAATTCTTTGATAATCTTTGAAGGCTCTTTATTGAATCCTCTTGAAGCTTTCTGCATTTTTACTAGATATAGAATCCATAAATCATAGAATTCAGAAATTTCTGAAGAATTCTAGTTTATCCCTCTAACTCCTAGAAAGGTTTTATCTACATTGATTCATGCAGACTGGAATACTTCATATCCCTAAGGAGCTCCATGAAGGAAAAACTCATACGCTTCTTTGAATATAAAATCAGCAATTATTAGAAATGGACTTCAAGTTTCTCTAGATTCTTATAGTCAAAAGTACATACAACTAATTATACTGTAGAGTCACTTTCTAATTAATTTAACTCTTCAGATAGAGAGGGATCACTCTTGAGAGTCTCCATTTGGTTACAGATCTTCCACTATATCACGACCAAAGCAGCCAGTTATAGAATTTGTACTTAAACAATATCACTAATAAATCACACACAAAATACAAACAAAAACAGAAATGATAAATCAACATGGAACTAGAAGTTGATCAAAACACTAGAATAGGGACTGTTCTTTCTGGAGAAATATCCTTTGGATTCTGACAAACCATAAGGGGCAATGAACTTAAAAACCACAGATCCTTCCTCAAACATAATACTCTCAAACTTCATGCTGGAAACCTTAATAGAAAATATTCAATCTGATCTTCGGTAAGTAGGTTAATAAATAAAAAAAGCAGAAATGCTTTAGAGTTCTAGGACTGAAAGTGGGCATATATCTCATATATACTCAGACATGAGGGCTTTTTATTGCAGACTGATACTTATATGCTTTAGCCAACTCCTTTAGCACATGACTGTAGCCTGCTCAGCCAGCTGGGCTTCAAGGTGCTTTTCTGGAAACATTATGAATAGGGGGCATTGCAATCACTCAGTTTACAGCTTACAGAAGGCAGCAAGATTAGCGGCATGGTGAGAATTTTTTTTTTTTTTAAACATTTGTTAGAAAACCTCTGTTAAAAAGAACCCTGGAAATCTGGGCCATGAATAAAGGAGAGGCTCATTACACTACTTTGTTTATTTTGAATATGATTTTTTAAAAGGCATACTTAGAAGTCCAAGAAACGAGAGCCCACAATGAAGATCCAAACAAAGTAGAACTGAAAAGGCAGTAGCAGGGCTTCCTTGAATTTCTGTGCCAGATGCTGATTATATTTCCATAGAGGGCTGGCCATTTGCCAGAATCATGACTATTCTGGAACACACATTCCTGCCTAAAATCCTAAATCAATAGCAGACAGGTACCTTGTAAGTATGTGGTGCTTTACGCAAATTTTGCTATTACAATGAAGGGAGCTCAATTACTGCCCTCATATCTCCATTGGAGAAAAGAAGCCCAACAGCAAGGCCCATAGATAAGACTGTTATCCTCTAAAAAACCTTTATTAAGACTTATTTGAAAGAGAAATGCAGTACTTAGACATCATACTGGACAGAAAGAACTGTCCCTACCAGAAAGCCTCAAAAGAAGTCCTAATAAATAAATGAACAATGACAAATATACAGTAATGAGGCAAAATTTTAAAGTATTTTAGGGGCTGCTTGTTCCTGTTAGTAGCCCCAAATAGAGTTTATTATAACTTATCAGAATAGTAAAACAGAAAAAGTAAAAAAGCCAAAGTACTAGAGAACACTTTTACAGAATAACCAAATCTCCATAAATTTAAAAAAAAGTGATTAATCCTTTAATATTCAGTCTGAGAGGATATTTGACCTGCATTGTTATAAGCATGACCTCTCTTCCTGCTCCAATTTCAACAGGAGTTCCAAGTCAAAAAACAAACAAAAAAAATTGGTTCCTTAGAAGTTACTTGCTCTAAGCCTGTCCACCACTCTGTAGAGAAACCAATCAGATAACTCAGTTCTTTATAGACAACCCTAACTAACTCCTCCACAAACTGACAAACTGAATGAGAGGAAGAGACCAGCCACAGAATAGATCTAGATGTAGTAAGTACAATTCATCAGAAAAGAACAGCATTCAATTATCACAAGACATTTCCTTCAACCATTAACTCCTCTGGCTTCCAACTAATAAAGTCCAAACTACCTATAAATCCTGGGAAACCGATTAGAATTTACAAGGAGGATGAACACTTACAGTTTCATAGAAACTGGTCATATGAAACATCTCATATGACTAAAAATGGTTTTGTATCAACCTTAAATGTAAGATAAAGAATTGTTTCTTCTAAAATTATTAATCCTCAAAAATAGCAATAAAATTCTTTTTTAATAGGATGCTATTTTCAATAACTAGTTATTCATAAGATTAGTACTGATATAACCAATTGAAGTCTTTGCTTCTAATTTGAGCACGTGTGTTTTTCCACACTTGAGAGCTTTTTAAGGCCAGGATTATATGATAGATATGGTTTTCTTCTGCTAAGTATATTAATAAACATTTAAAAAATGTATCAGTCATGTTCAGGGAAAAAAATAATAAAATTTTCAAATGACTTTATCTTTTTAAGATATCACTGTGCAAAGTAGAGTTCACAGAATTACTAGTTCTTCCAGCTATTTTTTATCAACTAATTTTTGATTCATCATTACTAACAGTATAGTTAGCATCATCTACCTATATAGTGTTATACAGTATACAGTGATTCATCACTGTAACACTATAATTGAAGAAAAATGACTCTGTGGGATCACATGCAAGGAAAAAAATAGCATCAGTATTTTTGTGAATGCTTACAGCTACTTTCCGTAAAAAGATACGAGATGAGAGCACCGAAACATAATTACCACAAATACGGATTCTACTCACCAGTTTGATTGCTACATATTCATTGGTGTAGAGATTTTTACCTAAGGGAAAAGCAGAATGTATATGTTTTAGTGACATTTATTTTGGGAAATGCAAAACAAAATCTTGGCTTACAGGGTCATGAGAAAGGTCACATTCCCAATGCTGTTCACATATATGAAACATGATTTATAAGTGAAAAGCTAAACAGAGATAATGAGATCCAGCAAGATGAGAAAACAGTTTGAGAATTTGAAAATTTAAGCTACAAATGAGAAAAAAAAATTTTTTAAAAAGAAAACAAATCTCTCTCCTTCTCCCTCACACCCATGTGTTATTTAATATTTACTAACCATTAAGCCACCAGGCAAACCAAAAAGAAGAAATGCCAAAGTTCAAAAGATAGAAATTTTAACTCTTGTCACAATAAACATAAACCCTCATTCTTCTAACTTACTGACAAATAGGAATTTTATATTTTTTTGTCATGGTATTGTCAACTTTAGATGACATAAAGGATAGTGTGAAATAAAATCAATTAGTGCCCAATCCTCCTTTTAACGAACTCATCTACTCTCTGTAAGTAGATGATTCTCAAAGCTGTTTGACTGTTCACCAAAACTCTAGCTCTATCTCTTTAACTATGTACAGAAAACAGATCTTCACCTGGGTAACACTTAAACATCTCACAGTTCTTCCTGAAATAATTTTTTTCTCTTAACTTCTCTACTTCTAAAAATGGAATCGATATTCTCCTAGAAGTCTAGACTAATAACTTGGAGTGATGATGAGGATGAGAACGACAACTATCACTTAATGAGCCCATATTATATGCTGGGTACTTAGCTCCTCTCAATTCCCCACCCCCCACTGATCCTTGAAGCCTTAACTTTAATTCCTCCTGAATGCTCCTCATACCGTATAGTTTAGCCACTACACTGCTTATATGTTTGCTCTATCTTTTCCAGCTACAGAATAAATATCTTAAGGGTAGGGATTGTATCTAATAGTTTTCTGGATGTCCTATGGTGTTTAGGACCATATTCTGCCCATCTCAAACACTCAAAACCTTGCCTGATTAAAAGTTAGTGACATGTACAGTATGACTACTTTTAAAATAATACACACAAATAAATATTATATTTCTATATATACATAGCTGAATATATATGCATGGAAAAGGGTATAGAAAGATGTACATTAAGGTATTAAAATGATTGTTTCTAGTATTTTCTGATTTTTATATAACACACATTGTCTTAAAGTAAAAAAAAAAAGCAAAACACTTCATTTTGGCAACAGAAAGCTGCCTGCAATACAAGTTCTCATTTACCAAACTCTAGACTACAGAAGGCCCTTTTCAATATAACTACATCATTATACTTTTAATACTGCTGTCAGGTTGCTAAGTACCTTTATGTTTCAAAATGTATACTAATTCAGGAACAATTTTGTCTACAAATAACATAATAAAAAAGACTTAGGTTGACAAACACCTAGGAAACCACTGTAAGGTGAACAACTTTTTAAGGAAGCACTAGTAGAAAATAGGTATTTCTCCCTCTATCTATGATCAATTGCACTAAGCTTCTAAAAGTTAGTGTTTCTGATTAATGTTCCGACCAAAACCAAAAATTAAAAAAAATTTTTTTTTTAATTTTTAAAAAATATATTTTATGAAATTGAGAAAGGGAGAGTTATAACTAAGAGAGGAACAGATGAGGAATTTTTTTAATTTTAAAAAAATATATTTTATGAAATTGAGAAAGGGAGAGTTATAACTAAGAGAGGAACAGATGAGGTAGTAACAAGCAGCTGACTCCCAGGCAGATTAAAACTTCAATTTGGCCAAGGATTTCTTCTACACCAGATACAATGTTGCACAGATTTTTCAGGAGAGCTCTTCCTGGTTCTGCATAAGTACTGTTACTGTGACTTAAAATCAATTTTAACACAGGGCTGAATCCTAAGAACTTATTAGCACTGCTTAAAAGAGAAAGGTCAGGTTATAAAAGTTTAAAATGATAAATGTGTTTGGGAGTCTTTATGAATTGTTGACATCCCCCCTCCCAGTTTTGGCAATAAGAATTGATGGGAGGGTTGGGGGTGGACACATGCTGGTAATTTACTCAGTTGGTTAGAGCATGGTGCTGATAACACCAAGGTCCAGGGTTTTAATTCCTGTACCAGCAAGCTGCCAAAAAAAAAAAAAAAAAAAAAAAAAAACCCACCCTAAAACCCAAAAAGAATTACTGGGGGTTGTGGAAGTACAGGCACCAAAATTTACCCCTTACTCAGAGTACAGCATGCCTGTACTGTTAAAGAATTAACTCAATATTTAAAATACATGCTTTAATGTAACAGACCTTCAGTTCAACAGATACAATATTTAAGGTGAACTGAGGTGGTGGGGTATGTGCAGCAGAGTAATAAATCTACAGTCTGATCTGTGAGCAAAAAGAGACGGTGATACCAATCAGAGAGGTTGGGAGAGCCAGGAAAGTCTCAAGAAGGAAATTCTTTCCTTTCTCAACTCCCCGTACCGCCCCCCCCCCCCC